AGTAGGAAAAACGCCAAAACTAAGGTGCCTGTCCTGTCATGGCAATGGAGCTGTAGATCCTCACAGGGCCCTTACCAACAGGAGCATTTACAACAGAGCTGGCCCCAACCTCAAGGGCTCTGTTTCTCCAAGTCATGCTGTATGCATCACGCACGCACGCACGCACACGCACACACACCCACCCACCCACCCCCTTTGGCTCCCATGGCTCCTGCATCAGACTCCCAGCATCCTGACCTACAGAGGCAGAGTCGTCAGGAATTCTGTCTCAGGGATAGAAAGATCTCTACTCTCCCAGGTAGCCCTGCCCCACAGACAGCAGAAGAGTGGGGAAATCACATCCAGAAGCAATGGGAAAGCATTCTGTTCACCTAGAAAAAGTCCGCAAGCAGTGCTACTCAGGTTTAGCCTTTAAACTGCTTATCCACAGTCTACTAAAACTTTACCACAGGAACCAAGAGGAAAGTTCAGAAACTATGGCAGGTTGTCTAACTACATGCCTACAGGCTCACCCACTGAGAAGCTCAAAGACCAGTCTGGAGGTGGCCCGAGATCCCCATGCAAGGGATGGCTGCTCTGCTCATTTATAATGTTCTAGAAATTGAGCAAACATCTTGGGTAGGTAATTCCTTCACCCTACAGGGGCAGTGGCACTAGGCAGGCTCCCTGGCAGGAGCAGTCAAAGTTGGAATGAGCGAGGCCAGAAGCCAGGTGGCTGTTCTTGCTGTCCTCGTCCCTCTTGGCCTTGTCAGTGTCCCCTGGAAGCAGTGAGGGCTGCAGAACCCACACTCAGAGCCAAGGGTGACTGCAGCTTCACACTCAATTGCCAAGGTGCAGCACTTCCACCCAGCTTTCCCCAAAACCCAAGGCACTGGAGACTATTTGTTTTTCACAACCAGGCTTCCTTTCCTGCTAGCCCACCTCTGATCCCACCTCCAGATCCACAGAACAGTAAGTGACTGAAAACAAACTTGGCAAGCAGACTACAAAGGAAGAAGCAAACATGGAAGGCTGGGTACACCCGAGGCAAGGGGCTTCATCTGGCACAGGCAGGTCCAGACTCTGTGCCTCAGACAGTTAGGTGGGATGGAAAGCATGTGCTGCACAAAGCCAAAACTGCCAGTGCCAGCTGTCCCATCTCAAGTTAATAATTTTTAGGTAATTCAGTTCCTGTCTCTCGTGTCCAATGGTTTTGCAGCAATCAAATAGTAATGGTTTCTTTTATTTTTCAGGATCTGGAACTATACCTGGAACACAGCAGCTGTTGGGAGACAAAGAGGAAGACAGCAGGTAGGTGGATAGGGATGGGATGGCAGGATGAGAGCAGGATAATCTATACATTTTAATCACCCCAGTCAGGCAGCTGCCTGCTGGCCTGCTGAACTAATCCACCAGGAAGCCATCTTCTCAGGAGCTACAGTGACACTGGGAACTAGGGGAGTCCTCAGCTGACTGCCAGATGTCTGGGGATGAGAGGAAACAAGGCCAAAAGCCTGAGAGGTCAGGGTGGGAAGCGGGGAACTGAAAGAGGATTGGGAGACCCAAAGGCTGAGCCAAGTCCAGGTCCCTCCCCACACTCCCCGCCCCCATCCTAGCCAGCCAAGCCATTTGCCACAGCTTCCAGGGCATGGGCGGGGACTTGGCAAGCCCACAAAGCCATTTGCAGCAGAAATGTCCGTCTGCAGCTGGAGGGAGGCTGGTGCCCAGGCCCCTCCTCACGGGCGCAGCTAGAAGATGGCTGCAGACCTGGTGGTGATTCCTAAGGGCGAGCTGGACAGCTTTAGCCCACTCGCCTAACTGCCAATCTCCCCCTCCTCCGTGTCACTCCACACAGGCCCAGGCCCAGGAGATGCAGCTGAGCTCGGGGTCCTAACCAACTGAGACTTTCACCATTGCCCGGAAAGCTAGCTCACTTTCACCCTCTTCATATTCAATTATGTCTCTGGGTGGGTTTCCTCCCTGCTCTAACCTAGGGGTATCACTTGTTTGCTTATCTCTAAGGTTGTGCAAGTATCCCTCAGAGAAGGGGTTCGGGATTCCTCTGCACCCTTGCCAAGGGATCAGCCCCAGGGCATGTAAGATCCTAGCAGGCAGTGGTCAGACGGATTGACAGAAGGCAGAGATGCTGGGCATGGTCCCAAAACAGCTTCCAGACATCCTCAGCTACGCAAGGGTTCCCATGAGGTAGGGCGTGGGAGCCGCGTGGGAGTCAGAAAGCAGGGCAGCCTGGTGCTCTCAGCCCCCTGGGCACTCAATGGGTACTTGGTATGGGCTGTCATGACGGCGGCACTGGAGCGCGCACCATGGCACACTCCCCAGAACACTTCAGGCCCACAGTCCAGCAGGCTCAATCTGTGCCTGTGCTGGGCACCACACACAGGCATCTCTCACGGGTGTTTAAGCCCCTTGCAGGACTCAGCATACATGGACGGTCGATGATGCCCACTGGCTGCTGTGCACCACTCACCCACAGGGCATAGGCATCTGCACCTATCCCACGGCTATGCAGAGGGCGAACCCTTCTTGCTGGGACTCTGCTTGCTTGTTAGGACTCTGGCCTAACTTCACAAGGCAGATGTACCATCTCAGGGTCTTACAATAGAAGAAGCCACAGCAAAACCACCCAGCGCATGGGCCCAGAACGATAGCCTGGCGGTTGAAGTCCTCACCTTGTATGTGCCAGGATCCCATATGGGTGACAGTTCTAACCCTGGCAGCCCTGATTCCCATCCAGCTCCCTGCTTGTGGCTTGGGAAGCAGTCAAGGACAGCCCAAAGCCTTGGCACTCTGCACCCATGTGGGAGACCTGGAAGAAGCTCCAGGCTCCTGACTTCCGATTGGTGCAGCTCTGGTCGTTGCAGCCACTTGGGGAGTGAATCATTGGACGGAAGATTTTTCTCTCCATCTCTCCTCCTCACTGTATACCTGACTTTCCAATAAAAATAAATCTTAAAAAAAAAAACCACCCAGCGCATACAGGACAGTGCACAGCAAACCAGCCACCAGGAAAACCCTGTAAGCGCCAACGACTAAACCAGGAACAGGAGGCCCAGAGCTGAGCGCTTGCTGGCAGTGCCTGAGCTAAGGAGCAAGTTACGCTTCTCAGCCAGACAAGTCAACAAATAAGAACAAGTATAGACACAACCTCAGTGCTTTAGAACCATGGCCAGCCCTGGTCCCTGCCTACCTGCCAAAGGGGAGCAGGGCAGACCTGTTTGGGGAGCTTCCACTGGGCTCTCAAGTAGCTCGGCCACATGCCCGCAGCACTTGAGGCTGAGAGACTTCAGGAGGCCTGCAGGAAACCCAGCAGAACGTGGGGGACCGCGAGGGAGAACATTTTGGGAAAGAGCTGAAGAGAAACAGGTCTGCTATGGCAGCAGGGGTGCTTTCCGGAGGCAACAGAGCTGCCAGCAGTCCCTTCTCCCGGCTCAGGGACGCTGCTGACCAGGCTGGAGGGACAGGAGGGAGGGAGGGAGCCTTTCCCCAAGCCCATCTGTCTCCATCCCTTGGTCCTGTGGTCATGCTTCCGCAGGCATGAGAGCTCACAACCCCGGCAGTGGGCGGAAGCCAAGGCAGAACCTGGGGAGTCTGCTCTGGACAAGAGCACTGTTGAAAGCAAGCTCACAGCTCTGCTCCCTGCCCGCCGGCACCCACACCCACCAGCCTCGGCTTGCCAAGGGGCCTCTCACAGGCTCCTTGCAGGTGCCAGCCCAGGGCGCCCAGTCTCACTCAAGCCGCTTTCCCAGGGAAGCCCATGCCACCGGGCTCCTCTTCTTCCAGAATTCAGACTTGTTTCCTAGCACCCCCAAGCACTTCCTGGTCTCCAAAGTTCCCTGGGACAGAGCAGCCTCTTCCAGTCATATCTGGCAGCCTGCACCAGGATCACCATCCCCCTCAGGCAGTGAGGCGGCAGGGAACCACCTCCAGCACCTCAGCAGGGCTTCCCACAACTCTCCCAGGAAACAGGCGGAGCATTTCCAGGGAGCAGCGGCTAGGAGCATCTGGGGACACGAGCCCTTCACCCACCTGCTACCCAAGCAACCAGCCGTTCCCTTCCCCCACAGTCCCAGCGGTAGAACAGGTTTCCTACCAGCTACGCACAGTCCCACATGCTTCCCCGACTCTCCACTGGAGCTGAAGCCACACTCAGTTATCTCCCACCCTCCAGGGCCAGCTGATAACTGCTGAGTAATCTCAAACTCAGGGTAAGTCCCCAGCCCTGCAAGCAGGGCAAACCCGAGGAAACCTACTGATCTGGTCCTTGCCAGCCTGCTGGGGACACCCCCCACCCACTCGGCCCCGAATACTCCGGCCCTCTGCCTTCACACAGCCACAGGGAGCAGCTGGGGCTCCCTTGTCTGCTTCCCACCCACCTGGGAACACTTCCTTCCCAGGCCCCCAGACACCAGCGCACGGAGTCACAGCAGACGCCTGCTGGCTTGCAGGCATGATGTTGCATCAGCCCCCACCCAACCCAAAATATCCTCACCCCCACCACCTCCTCTCGGCTCCAGCCATCGCCATGGTGACAGCAGCATGACTAACGACACCCTATCAGCTTCAGACACCGAGCGCAACCCCCCTTCTCCGTCAACACCCCCCCCCGCGGGATTTCTGCAGACTGGATGCAAACCAACAGTGCTAGGGACATGCTGGGGGAGATTTTCAGAGGCGGGGTGGGGAGTGGGTTACATGTCTTAAAAAAAAAAAAAAACAGTTTAACAACCAAGCCCCAACTGCACCCAAGCCATCCAGCTGAGAAAGCAGAAAGAATCCAAACAAAACCCACACAAGGCCTGAGAATTCATTGGCCGCCCACACCCCCGCCGCCCCTCCCCCTCAGCGGCTGCTACACACACACACACACACACACACACACACACACACACAGTGGGAGATTCAAGGATCACAAGAGGAGACCCTTTATTTTTATCCAATCCAGACACTTCACCCCCCCCCAACAGCCCGCCTCAGACGCACACACCAAACGCTCGAGGTACCTTGACAGTCGCCCCTTGTGCCCACGGCCCCGCTCCTTCACCAGCCTTTATTTCCACCTGCAAAAGAAGCCAGAGACGGATGAGCCAGCCGGGCACCGGGAAGGAAGCGAAGTCCCTGTGCGACGGGCCCAGCGCCACGCACGAGAAGGGGGGGAGCGCAGGGCAGGGGGCGTCCGGAAAGAAAGGCCAACGGGGACCATCTTCCTGCCTCCAGCTGCCCCGTGGCCCTCGCACCGGCTCCCTCGCCTTCCACGGTGTTTTTGTTTTCATCTTTCCTCCTGGAGCCCTCCAGGAACCTGCCCCCTGATCGCGCGCCCCTCGGGGCCCTGAGCGCGCTACCTCGGCCGGCCTCCTCGGGTGGTGCAGCAGCGGCCGCCGGGCCTCCCATTATCCCCGCCGGAGGGAGCGCACGGAGGGAGGCACTGCAGAGGCGGTGGCGGCGGCCAGCTGCCGGCTGCGCTCCCTCCCCGCCCGATCGCCTGCCCGACCGCCCGCCTGGCCGGGAGGGCGGCGTGCGAGGGGGCGGCGCGCGCACCAGCCAATCCCCGCCGCCAGGCCCGCCCCCGCGGCGCTGACCTGCCCAGCCCCGCACGACGTGCGGGGGCGGGGGTGCCGCCGGCCAGGCTGCCGCTGCGGGCCGCTCCAGGGCTGCCGGGGATCCCCGGGCAGCGGGCAGCGCCTGCCTCCACCCGAGGGGACCTCCACGGGGGATAACGCAGGCTGCAGCGAGGACAGACCGCACGCCCCGGCGGAGGGACAGGGCAAGGTCAGAGGCGGTGGGATTCCCGCCCCACCACGCAACAGCAGAGGCCGGGTCGGGCCCTAACGTTGAGAGCAGAGGCCCCCTTCAGTCTTCCCAGAAGACAAAGCCCAAGCAGCACGAACCTTCACCCCATTCCAGCGAATGGCAAGAGTAAAGCAACTCAGAGGCGGCGCGGCCAGGAGGGCAACACTGGATGCCAGGTCTGTTGAAGGCTGTCTTCTTACCCACGTGCAGTCTGACTCCTAAGCTCCCCGCAAAGCCCACCTCAGAAGACCCGCAGCTACTCCATGGAGCCTGTATTGCCTGGCGCTCCAGGCCCCTCACCCTGGGGATGCCATCCCTGCTGGCGCCTGGACAAAGCCCACCCCAGTAGCCTCCCCACAACCCTGCCAAAGGTTCCTTGGGGGAGGAAAGGGGGACACACGCAAGTGCCCCAGGCCAAGGCTTGTAAGGGGAGGTGACCCAGACCCTTCAGAGCTCCCAGCCATCTGGAGGAGGAACCCCCCTCCCCAGCTGCTGCCGGAGCTCCCTCCCTGGGCACCCTCTCCCAGACCCTCGCTTTAGCCTCGCCCTCGGGAGTGCCCACCTCCCAGGAAGTGGCCCTCTAGCACCCTCCAGCACCCCTGCATCGGGTCCGGCTGTAACTCACCTCCCTCAGCCTCATTTGTTCGTCTGAGACAGAACTACAAATAGCAGTGACTGGCGTAGTTGTGAGAGCTCCCGGGGAAGCGATGGCAGTGGCGGCAGACGCGCAACAGGCTCTGCCAAAGCCGCCACCGCTCTCCACTTGGGGAACAGCTCACCGGAGCTGTTTCTCATCTCACAGATGAATAAGCCCAGGTCAGAGAGAAGTGACTCAGCAGCCCCGTGCGGGCCCTGAAAGAGCCCCCTGCTCAGTGACTCCTCCATCAACCACCACACACAGATGCCAAATCACACACAGCCCTCTCCCTGAAGGTCGAGAGGGTGCACAGAGCTGGATGAGCCGCCAGCTGGATGGCTGGACTGGGTCCCCTGCTCCCAGGCAGGGGCAGGGAACAGTGTCCTCAACCCAGGCTTCTGGTGGGAAGCCAAGCTTTGGCATCCCTGAGCTCCTACACACATCAGGCCAGAAGTCGTCCCCCCAGGATGCTGGCTGGGCTCTAGCCCTGTGCAGCTTGCTGCCCCACAGGAGAGGCCTGGGCTGCTTGGAGAGTGGCGATGACCTCTACCACTGCTGCAGCAGCCACACCAGACACAACCTCAGCTCTTACAGGGAAACCTCCAGCTCACATGTCAAGTTTTGTGCCTGTCAACAGCTGGTGAGTAATGGGCTGGAACTCAAACCAGGACCCGCTCATTCCCCAGCTTCATCTTCCTCCCTCTGCCAACCCTAGGGAGGATGTCCAACAGCGACCGGGAGTGGGGGTCACTGGGACCCACCCATGTCTCTGTGTGGCCACGCTCTCATGCCTCCCCTGGGACTGCTCCTACATGCATCCCCTTCCCCCTGCCTCGCCCCACCTGGCAAGCTAACAGTGCCGGGCTCAATCCAAGCAGTGCCTCTGCTCTGCCAGTTTCTCAGACTGCCAAGCCCCCATGAGCATCGCCGGCTCCTCCCCAAGCAGCAAACCGCCTCTTCTAGGGCACTAGTTACAACCCAGTGCAGTCATCTGTTTACCCAGCCCTCCTTCCCACATGGCAGGAGCCGGACTGTGACTGCACGTGGAGGATGGGGAACCAGGGGATGGACACACCACAGGGAAGCCACACCAGCAGCCTTCTCACCAAGGGCCTCAAGGACCTGCAGGACACCTGCTCTGGGCAACCAGCACATCTTCCTCACCAGCCTGCAGGAGCCACAGTGCCAAGTTCCCACTCTCGTTCCACTTGCTCACTCAGCGCTATCCCAATGACAGGCACCTGCCTTGCCCACTGGCGGCTCGTGGCCATCAGCGAGGGGCTGTGTTCCCCAAGGCAGCCCACCTGCTCATCTGCGGCACCTTCAGGGCCAAGGCTTGAGCAAAGCCGAGGTGCCTGCCAGGGCCACTCTGTCTCTAGCCAGGACATCCACCAGAGAGAAGTGAATGTCTCCACCCACTGGCAAGACCCCAAGGGCTAGATCCCACACCTCCAGACGCCAGCAGAAGCCCCCACTTGGAACACACCATCTCTGAGACTACCCAGTGAGATAGGAATCATTCGTGCCCACTTACAGATGGAGCAGCTGAGCACCTTGCCGAGCCCTGCAGCAGGAAGGCGGGCGAGCAGGGCTCCCTTGGGATGCTGTCTGCGTTGCTCTGTGCAGTTTTCCCACCCAGCTACCTCTACTGGAGTGGGCAGCAGGCAGGGGACACAGGGTTCTCCTCCAGCCTCATCATAGCCCTGTGCTGAATGAGGTCACCCTCCCCAACTTCACTTCAGGGCTCAATTCAGGACCTGTTTCCTCCAGGAAGCCTTCTCAGGTTTCCCAGGTCCTTCCCAAGCCAACAGCACTTCTAAGGTTTCTCACTTGACACTTGGTACTGCTCTCTCTCTCCACACACGTGTCCCTCCTCTCTCCCCAGGATGGCTGGAGTTGCACCTCTCCAAAGCCCCCTGTGGTCCTGCCCAGTGCCACACACACGCTGAAGGGACTTGGAGTTGTCAGCAAGGGAGTTCTGGCCCTCCTCCCCTCACTGTCACACAAAGAATCCTGCCAAAGAAACCCAACACCTCCTCCACCTTCCGAGCCTGTTTGAAGTCCCCCGTGTCCACGCATCAATTTCCACCCAAGTAATTGCAACCCATCATACACACATCATCCCCTATATTTGAAACTCTTTGCAGTTGTCATGGGAACTGCCTTTGCCTTCATTCACTGATCAGGCCTCACAATTAGCTCTGGCAACGGAAGTCTGTGTCAACGGCAGTCGCAGGCAGGAGGAAGTCAGGAGCACCAGCATAAGGAAAGACGCTCAGAGGAGGGGGTGCCCACCACGTCCGAGGGCACTCTCCAGAGCTCCCCTCACTACCCCCACCGACACTCAGAAGGCAGGCGAGCTGGGAGCAGACGGTGCTCCACCGACTCTGCACGTGCTCCTGGATGCTGGTGAGAAGGCCGTACACACTGCGACCCTCTTGTGGGTCTCCTCACCCCTCATTCAGCAGCCAGGGACCGCATAATGCTATAGGATCCCAAGTAACAAGGGACCATGACACAAGGAGATAGGGCATAAATGCCAAGCAGTTGAAGTTGGGACAGCCCGGGTCGGAGACTTCCTGGAGGATTAAACACATAACCTGTCACCTCTGACCTCCAGGGTCAATGAGCAGCCTCCAGGGCACCCTGCTGCCTTGCCACCAGCCCTGCCATTCAAATCCCTCTGCACACATGGCGGCTCCATGGAGCCCCTCCCTTCCAGGCCTCCTCCCTTCGAGCCCCACCAGAGTCCACGAGGGGTCAGCACGTGTGTTCCCAGCTGTGAGCTCATGGTCTCGTCAGCTGTATGGAGCTAAGACGGTAACCCGCATGTACCCAGGTCAAACACAACACTGTCCAGCAGACAGAAGCTGCCTTCCTCCAGCCCCAGGAGCAGGGAAACACTATGCCAAGTGCCTCTCTTCATCCTGCCAGTAGCAGTTGCCTCCGTCAGTGGGAACAGGGACTCTGCCACCTCCCCTCTCGCTCCCGGGACTCCAGGTTCCCTCACATCACTAAGGGAACCAGGGTACCGAGAGCTGACCCTGGCAGAGCAGACAGTCAACAAAGACAGAAGACAGGACAGGGATCATCCAATGTGCTCCCCCCGAAGGACAGCCCAGAAGTGAAACAGACTTGGGGCCCAGCGCCTTCTAACTGCTCTAGCAACTCGCCTGTGCCCTGCAGTGGCTTTCTGCAGTGAAGGGGGCTGTGGAGGCACCTGCAGGCTGCCAGGTACTCAAGTGATTTTTGCAGGGCAATCCCCAGTTCTGAACACCTGCCCTCACAGCACCGGTGAGTGGAAGGCTGGACCTCTGAGTTGTTTCCCAACTCCCAGGCTGGGACTGGCCATAGCTCAGAGCCAGCAGGGGCAAGCTGTCCCACAAACATCTCTGCTACCTCAGTCAAGCAAGAAATCCCCCACACATCTCAGCTCAGTTACCCCACACCGGGCTGCCGGCTTGCTTTTCCCCTTTATCCTTGGTGGTGAATAAAAACTTGGGTTCTCATATTTCTTACCCAGGTGAGAAGACAAGGCCACCCCAACCCCACACAGCCACACTCAGGCCAACCTGAAGGACCCCCAGGAACTACCCGCCTTGCTGTGGCAGGCTTGCAGGAAGAGGAAATGGC